TTTTTGTTCCCTCAAAGCCCAGCTTTTTCAGAATTCCAGGTACTTCTGTGCTTTACTCCCATTCTGCTTATTGTCAACATCAAGTAATACAGGAGGCACTGTGATCACTTTGGATAAAGCATTAGATTCAAAATTACATATTACTCCAAATACCACAGAGAACAAATGGGAAAGGACTTAAGGTATAACCCACAAAAGTCATTAGGTTCTGTCATCTGCTATTGTCTCACCACACTATACCTCAAATTGCAACTTAAGTAACATTTAAATCGTAAGGCTATTTTTTAAACAGTGTGTTTCTATCAAAAGTCATTTTTTTCACAAGAGGAAAAAACACTAGGGTAAATGATATATTTTGAAAATAACAGTCGCGTTACAGTACACAAGAATTTGCTTCTTGGAAATATGTAATTTGTTTATGATTCATCGCTTCTGCAAAGCTAAAGAAATAATACAAACAATACAAACCAAAACAAAGACTGACAGGCAATTCTGAGCTAAGTGATGTGGTAACAGTATAAGCTGCGATGATCTCAGTTAAACACTACAATTATATAACATTCACTAAGCAGGAATGAAATCTGAAAGTTTATTCTGTCTATCTAAATTATCAGCAAGTCTATAGCACCCATCACCATGGTATCTACGTGCTAAGTCAGCCCAGGTACAAATACAAAACTTGCTTTTCAAACTTAAAACTGCCAATTTTGCAATGGTTTTGATGCTTGCTATATTCACAGGGCCAAATCTTGAGGCCTTTGTACAGCTTTCATTTAGGTGCAACTACACTGGCTGCAGTGGGAGTTTTGCCTGGATCAGGTTTGTAAAGACTCCACATTAGATTACATTACAATAATCCATAAACCATGACTTTATGAAGATTTCAGATTTTCCTCCCGCCCTGATGAATCCTTTGTCAAATCTAGGTTTACCTTTTCTCTGATAGTCATAGATTTTTATCGCCAAAAGGGACTATTATGATAATAAGTGTGATCTCTTGCATAACAGAGGCCCGTATTGTGTTAATATGTTCTAGGCCAGACTTCACCCTGCATGCTCTACTTATAAATATTATATATTTAGAAATTAGAATTTGAAGACTTCAAAACAGTTGATTCATTCAGCTGATGCAATGGAAGAAGGCAGGTTAGAAGCAATATATTGTGGCACAGAATGATACAGAGAAAGTCGCTTATATGATAAGATCTAAAATCTCAAAGGATAGATGCAACCCTTCAAAAATGAAAATACAAGATTCATAACAACACTTTAGGAAAGAAAAGAGTAGTATATATTTGGGAATAACTCCTGTGCCAGTGTATTAGAGCAAGAAAGATCACAGGGGACTTCTTTTCCAATATAAGCAACAGGGCAGAATCTTTTCACAAAAGTAAATATATGGCTAGGAAAAGGCAGCTATTGCATCCACCTGTTTTCTCGAGGTGGCCTGGCTTACCTATTAGATGGCATGGCTATCTCTATCAGCCAGCAGGTTAGTATGCTGTGGTCAACAGCAAGCACTAACTGGCAAATGGTACAGACGGACTGTAAATCTCACACTATGGTGCCACTTTTGGAAGTAGATTTCTCTAGTCAGTAGATTCCAGTAACTGAAGACACAAAGAAGTATGTTTGCTCCCACTTACTGAGTGGGCTGGGACACGATTTAACTTACAGTAGTTAACCAACATGTGAATATAATGAAGTAAGATTGCAAGAAGCTTCTTACTGAGGAATAACTTTTGTTAATAAAGCTGTCTTTCATCGAAAGGCTTAATTAATATACACAACTCACAGCTCCAGGAATAGGAGACTACAAAATATTAACATACCTTTGCTGATGAATGTAGGTCAAGAGCATCACAGGTCTGAACAGAATGATGAGAAAATACCCTGGGGCAAACCCCATCACACCAGCTCTGGTGCTTATATGCGAGCTAAGGCTGTTTAGTGACTCCAATCTACATTATATCATTTTAAAACTGAATGCAGAGTTTGAGATAATCATCACTTGCATTCAGTTTATCATTTTAAATATACAGCTTCATGCCTTAATTGTTAATGTACATCTTGTGATGTTCTGAGCACTTCCTCTGAGGTAGTCAGTGCCTTCAACTCCCATTGATATCAATGGGAATTGATGGTCCTCTGGACTTCACCAAATCTGGCCCAATAACTTCAGTAGCAGTTGAAAGCTCACAGTACTTTGCACAATTGGGCCCTTTGCCAGTTATTCCAGAAGAAGGATGCTACTTACTCTATGCACTAGAACTTCTGCTTTTAGCTCAGTATTATATAAAATAAACTCAGCACTGTTCCCATATCTTGGAAAATAAAATAGGAAACCCAGGAAGGTTTATATTGATAAGTCTCTGGGTCTAAAGAGACCACACTTGCTTGCTTGCCTTACACATAAGTGGTACCATTGAAGAAATCCGAATACTCACATAAGCAAGGCTCTCAGGATTGGTTCCAAAATACATAATTCACCAAAACCAGAGCTTCCCATTTGCTTTGACTCAGTAACTAGGAATACATTACATAGCTGAGTAATTGCTGCATTCAATGTTGCTTGTAAAGACATCAGTAGCAGCAACTGATGTCTGGAGGCATAAGCTAAGTATTTGCTACATTTATTTTCTAAGCTACATTCATATAAGGCAAATACGAAGAAAGGAATATTTCTTCCATTGCGCAATTACTTAATTTAAATACATTTATCATTTTAACTCGCTATTATTTCTAATTATGAACTACCAGTTCAACCAAGCTTCTCCTAAACTATGTGGAATGAATGCTCCCTTTCAGTATTCCTACTCGTGATGCCAAAAAATAAATGGTTTTAGCAAGGTAATGAAAACTGCATGGAATATTTGTTCTCACTCATTCCATTATTTCTTACTTTTACAGAGATTTGTGTGTGTCTATGCAGCAAATGATTGTTCACCCATTACTGTCAAGCACTTGTCTTATTACTCCACACTTTTGTTGTAAATCACAAATACTCTGTTTTAAATCATTTCCATTTAAATCATTTCCATGTCTAATGACACTGTCTTGCTGGAATGAAAGCATTATTAGGGAATTAGAAAACTAGTGTCAGACTATCAAAAAGGTTTACCATCATTATAAAAATGATTACCCTATTTGGTGTACAAGGGGTCAGAAGAAAGCACCCTACAAAATTCAATGGCTGACATTTTTCCTGCATAATAGTTTGTAAAAGATCGATGAGAACACAGGGCTTACTTACAAGGCAGAGAAAGGGCTTTAGAGAAACACAACTGTCTGAAAAAAAATATCTGTTGAATGTAAATTGTCAAGAAGTGAGGAGGACTTTTCTAAAGCTTCTATAAGCTACCTGGTGCTAGATATAATGATAAGACGTGCTGTCATCATGAAATAGATAGTGTCTATGACTTTCCCTAAGGATAATGTGTACATTATAGCATGATTTCTACCCTGGAATAATCACTCTCATATTGAACATTTCTTGGCCATCTTTCTACTTGAGAGAACAGACTGCCCAATATAATATCAAAACCTGGGGTTGTGTCAAGTTTTCTTATTTCTATTTCAGTAAATATGTCTGATGCTGCCCCTACCATATGAGGCTGTGACACACCAAAATAGTTCTGAACACAGCCTTGATTGAGGGCTCTCATTTAAAGAGGTTATTTCAGGTATGGATAGGACAGAGCACTTCAAGAGACTCTCACATTCTGGAGAAATAGTTTTTCTGATAGTCAGTGAAACCTCCTTCAGATGTGTACATGGAAATAAAGAGTCATCCAAGATCCCCTAAGACTTTTAAGGACTGATTTTGCTGACAGTTATTAAAAATTTATCTACTTCAATGTATAAAACTATTGTATTTGTTCTCTACCCTTGAGTAATCTGCGTCATAGACCTAGAAACAGTAGAAATATGAACCTCCAGCATTAACACTAACATGTTCCAGACAGTCAGACAAACAAATGCCTAAGGGCATTATACAGATATGGACACAAATATCACTATATCTAGGATGGTATCTATGTGGTAAACTGATATAATTATATCTTTCTGTCCCAGAATATCTGAGATATCAGATTGTAAAGTCATGATATTTTTATGTATAGTAAAACGATTTTAGGTCATTTTATTTGTTATAGTACTTATAATTTTCTTCTTCCTTTGAGCTCTGTAGTGTTGGACTCATGGCAACTGAGGCCACTGGCTTTACAGCAGAAGGATACAAAATTTAATCTCAGTAAAACTGTCAAACTCTCTAACATTTTTGATTAGTTTATCTGCAGCAAACGTAGCCTCTACAGAATACAGGATTGTGTGGTGTGGAATAAAGGTTTAATCAGTATTCATCTGGTATGACCTATACAATTCACCTACAGCTTCACATCTTTGACCACTGTTCCTTGATTCTGTTCATTAATTCATCTCCTCCATCACTATTTCTGGTGTTTCAAACCATTGAGCAACTCCAAAGAACTGCTAGAGAAACATTTCCTTCTTCCCCTCAGAAACATGTGGAATACCCTCTCCTCTCCCCACCCCAAAAAACACTGCACTGGTCTGAAGCATGGGATGGATAATTCTCAGCCTTAGTGAAGCGATGGGTGTGTGGAGTAACATCATGGTACCCTTCAAGGCTAGAAACTGGATGCATTATGAGCTTCCCCTACACTCAGTCAGTTCCATTGGTAATGCAATGCAGAAGTAAGATGGACAGATGCCATACTGCCACCTTCATTCCTCCCAGGTAGACCACCTAAACTGATGGTGTTAACCATGAACAGTGCCTGAGCTCTTTGGGTCATTCTGTATCTGTCCCCTAAAAGTGTGCAAAGGAAGGAAGGCTCCTTGTGCATTCTCACCCACTTACATACCTGCTCAGGGCCAACTATAATTTGTATTCCAGAGGGGTGATTTGTTAGCGAATTGGTCAGTACACAAGAAATAGAGTACCATGGTGCTCTTATAAAAAGACTTTAAAAGCTCACCTGTACATGAAAAATCATCCACACGGATGTATCCGGGGACACAGTCACAACGATATGATCCAGGCAGGTTAACACACACTGTATTGGCATGACAATAATGCATCTTCGCAGCGCACTCATCAATATCTGAGGGGGGGGGAAAGAACCAGTCAATTGCACAGTTAAATGCTCACAATGACTCAATTCTGAAATAAGAGAAGAGAAATTGCAATTACAAGCCCCAGAAGAACCTCAAAAAAGCAATGTCAAACTCTAATACTAGCATAAATTTAGTAGCAAAAGCTTTCTTAAGGTGGAGTTAAGGCTGCTGAAACACAATAATGTCTCTCTGCTATACACTTCCAACCCTAAAGTTAACTGCTGGAAAACCAGGAAATACTGAATTAAGGTCCTTCCCCATATTTTCTTAGACAATGTTAGCATTACAACAAAAATAATCACAAACTAAAAAGAACCAGGAGATGAATAGTTCAAGTACTGCTTCCCAAACAATACACCCAGACAACTTTAGCTCTGCCCCCATAAAGAAGCTAGAATATGAAGATGCAGTAGCTCCACATAAAATGATACTTTGTGAACCAAGTCTCACAGTATCAGTCAGGAGTAGTGCTGGACAGATATGAAATATTGTTATGTAGCAAAAAGGTGCTCTGATTTTGCAAGTTCCTAATTTGCACGAGCTGTAACAGCTACCAAGGGGCCCTTCCGGGAGCCTAGGATCACTATAACACAACAGCACTTCAGGTCATGTCTCCATTCCCCTGACACAGCCCTACGCTGTGGACTACAAGAAGGTAGGTAGAACTGGGCCAGTTACTTCAGCGCTGTGCCACTGAAGAATCCTCCTACACAACTAGGAATCTCACATGGCCACTTAAACCAGCTTTTTATCTGCTTTGCATCATCCCAGTGGGACAAAGCAGATTTAACAGGGCCAAGGACCTGGCCCTACAACTCTATTTGTTATTAGTGGATCACCATATCTCTTGCAAGGCCACAACTCAAAACAATTTTTGTTGCCGGAGAAGGGGGACTAAAACTGCCATAAACTAAATATTGTAGAGCTCACTTAGAGGCAATCTTTTCCCCCAAAATATAAGGTACTTCTACTTCAGGACTGAACAATGGCTTTTTTCTGATTGGGACTGATTTTTCTCTCACTGACACCAGTTTTCTATGAAGCAACTCTATTGACTTCAGAAGATTTACTCTTGATTTATGTATGTCAGCGTAAGTGAAAGGAGACTCAGACCCATTTTTTCTTATTACATTCTCCTTACAAGTTATTTTATTGAAAGTCCATGCTCAAGAAACTGAATTGACAGCAGCACTGGAGACTGAAGTCTCTTTATCTCCACTGTATAGGTACAGATCAGACAGCAACACTGCATGCTTCCCCAGAGCCCTCCTACCACATGCCACAACTCTGGTCTGAAGGAACCTGTAAGGGTGAGAAAGCAGTTCTGTTTCCATGCTGATACAGTCCCTAGGCTTTGTGCTGCGAGTTTCAACAAACATGCCAATTGTGCTCATGGTTTCTATGCTATTGGACAGCTGTCCACGAGGAACTAGACTGGGACCACTAACTAAATCATTTCATATTGGCCACCAAACAGCTGTTAGTTGGTACTGACTTTTGATCACTACCAACCTGGGCTGAATTTGAAATGATGGCCTGGAAGCAAAGGACTCCACATCCCCTTACAAACACCTTGAGCTAGCCCGCTATCCTCATTCTTGTTGTTTCTGATGCTGAGCCTCTTGATAAAATGTATAAAAATGTCAAAAGCAGCAGGATACAAAAGGCAAATGCCAAGAAAAATCCCCCCATGTCTACTTATCACATCAGTGCATGCTAGGGCCACCTGGGACATACATTGCTACACTTGCTGCCTCTTTTTAACAGGCTTTTGGCTTAGCTTTAAGGGATTTTGCTCTTGCATGTCTACTAATTTTCTGGCATAAGAGGGAAGAGAAAGATGCCTGAAAAAACACAAGAACATCAAAACAGAAACCAATTCACCTGAAAATTACCCCACACTTGTCTCTAGCTTCATTAAGGAAGTCTTTGGACAATGATCCAAAAAAATAAAAATGGGGGTATTGGAAAATGTTGAAGATGGAGAAATTAATTGGCATTTTGATTCACTATAAGAAAAATGCTAACACCCCCCCCCCCCAAATAAATAAATAAATAAGGCTGCTTCCAGGTTACCAGTGGTTAAAAGGAAATTTACAACCCCGAGAAAAATATCTATGTGGCACATTGATCCTGTTAAAACTCATAAAGGAGACTAAGAACTTCAAAAGTCGATTTGATTACTAGTTTGCAGCAGCAGTCCTTATGTTCAGGTAGTGAAAAGACTTCGTCCGAGTCTGAGCCTGGCAAAAGAGGTGTAAGGAGTGAGATGAAGCCCTCTCCCCTCTTTTGCCACTCACATAGGCCCATCCTCAATCTTGTTTTGTGCCTTTTTCTCTTATATTCCATATTGCCCCTTGTAGCCCATAAAGCTAGCTTTAGCATTTTATTTTAGTCAGGCCTGTATCTCATAAGACACTAACTAAGCAGTTAGCATAAAACTTTGAGACCACTGAACTTCTGCCCAGGTAAATGGCCCAACAGTTATCCTGAGTCTTGGGGAACAGGGAATAGCTTAAGTCGGGAGTTTATGCATAATGATACCAAGTAATCACAAGAACACTGAACTTATGCTAAGCTTGGATATTTTAGGATAAAATGTTGGCAAATGCTTAACCGTGAACTTGCCTTGGCAACAAACTGATGTACACCTCTACCCCGATATAAGGCTGTCCTTGGGAGTCAAAGAATCTTACCGCGTTATAGGTGAAACCGCGTTATATCGAACTTGTTTTGATCGGCCGGAGTGCGCAGCCCCACCCCCCCAGAGAGCTGGTTTACCGTTTTATATCTGAATTCGTTTTATATCGGGTCGCGTTATATCGGGGTAGAGGTGTATATGATAATTAGTTGACATTATTAATACACTAATCTATAGGAAAGAGAAACTCCAACATTATTTGGGTGAGGAAGTTAGATATGGACAAGGGAGGATAGGCATTTTAAATTAATATTCATGATAGGCTCTAGGCCCTATAATAGGCCAGACCACCATTTAATATGGGGGAGTGGGGCATGGGATCATAGAATCATAGAATATTAGGGTTGGAAGAGACCTCAGGAGGTCATCTAGTCCAATCCCCTGCTCAAAGCAGGACCAACACCCAGCCAGGGCTTTGTCAAGCCAGGCCTTAACAACCTCTAAGGATGGAGATTCCACCACCTCCCTAGGTAACCTCTCTACCTCTCTCCCCCATCTTAGTGTCATCTGCGAACTTGCTCAGGGTGCAATTAATCCCATCATCCAGATCATTAATAAAGATGTTGAACAAGACCGACCCCTGGGGCATTCCGCTTGATACCGGCTGCCAACTAGACATCGAGCCATTGAGCACTACCCATTGAGCCCGACAATCTAGCCAGCTTTCTATCCACCTTATAGTCCATTCGTACAATCCATACTTCTTTAACTTGCTGGCAAGAATACTGTGGGAGACTGTATCAAAAGTCAAGATATATCACATCCACAGCTTTCCCCATATCCACAGAGCAGTTATCTCATCATAGAAGGCAATCAGGTTGGTCAGGCATGACTTGCCCTTGGTGAATCCATGTTGACTGTTCCTGATCACCTTCCTCTCCTCCAAGTGCTTCAAAATGGATTCCTTGAGGACCTGTTCTATGATTTTGCCAGGGACTGAAGTGAGGCTGACCGGTCTGTAGTTCCCGGGGTTCTTTCTTCCCTTTTTTAAATATGGGCACTATATTTGCCTTTTTCCAATCGTCCGGGACCTCTCCCGATCACCACAAATTTTCAAAGATAATGGCCAATGGCTCTGCAATCACATCAGCCAACTCCCTCAGCACCCTTGGATGCATTAGATCTGGACCCATGGACTTGTGCATGTCCAGCTTTTCTAAATAGTCCTTAACCTGTTCTTTCACCACTGAGAGCTGCTCAACTCCTCCCCATACTGCGTTGCCCAGTGCAGCAGTCTGGTAGCTGACCTTGTCTGTGAAGACCGAGGCAAAAAAAGCATTGAGTACTTCAGCTTTTTCCACATCATCTGTCACTATGTTGCCTCCCCCATTCAGTAAGGGTCCCACACTTTCCCTGACCTTCTTGTTGCTAACATACCTGTAGAAACCCTTCTTGTTACCCTGCACATCCCTTGCTAGCTGCAACTCCAATTGTACCTTGGTCTTCCTGATTACACCCCTGCATGCTCTAGCAATATTTTTATATTCCTCTCTTGTCATCTGTCCAAATTTCCACTTCTTGTAAGCTTCCTTTTTGAGTTTAAGCTCACCAAAGATTTCACTGTTAAGCCAAGCTAGTCACCTACCATATTTGCTATTCTTTCTGCACATGGGGATGGTTTGTTCCTGTGCCCTCAATAAGGCTTCTTTAAAATACTCTCCTGGACTCCTTGCCCCCTCATATTAGCCTCCCAGGGGATCCTGCCCATCAGTTCCCTAAAGGAGTCTAGGTCTGTTTTCTGAAGTCCAGGGTCCGTATTTTGCTACTCTGCTTTCTTCCTTTTGTCAGGATCCTGAAGTCAACCATCTCATGGTCACTGCTGCCCAGGTTGCCACCCACTTCTACTTCCCCTACCATTTCTTCCCTGTTCTGTTTGTAAGCAGCAGGTCAAGAGGAGCATGGCTCCTAGTTGGTTCCTCCAGCACTTGTACCAGGAAGTTGTCATCAACTGATTTGGACCTGGACCATCATTTGGCATGCCAAGGACAGAGCAGTTTCTTAGTCTCTTGGCACCAGATCACCAAAGAAGGGTGTGAGTATGTAAGTATATGAGTACATACATAAGGAATGGTATGAGACATCACCTTAATGCTGCATTTTTGCTATCTTTTTATGAGGTTTGGAGCTTTTGTGTCTTTACTAATTGTGTTAATAAAAGTTGTTAAAACTCTGCTTCATTGTGCAATGAGGTTCCCAACCAGATACTGAACTTAATAACCTTGGTTCTGTTGTGCCTAATTCAGAGACTAGAACTCCACAATCCCCCAGATCTTTAAATGAGAATTA